CCCTTTGTACGAACAAAAGTAAGAGAAATTTAGGATAAGAATATGAACATGTTCTTGCATGAGGCCCAATGACCCGACACAAGACTGAGACAGGACAGGGCTTAAATACACTGACAACTAATGAATGAACAGAAAACACCTGGGGAGAAACACGRGGGTGATCATCAAGGTAATGTGGGGCAGCTGAGCAGAGACACACAGGGGAACATAGAAAACACTAGGAAAACCAAGGAAAATGAATACAGACWATGACAGTAAAATCACTACAGATATTTCATAMGTCAAGTACTGCTTGGATAAGATAAAGCTAAAGTTAGGATTTCACATGAAAAATGTGCTTGCTGTGCAATACTCTTCTTCTTGTACCAGCCGTAATTAGGGGTGCACCAAATCCAGTTTTCTTGCCGATTACCCATCTTTTAAAATTCTGACCTGCCGATTCCAATTTTGGCCGATACRATTTTTTACTTTGAACAATACCCTTGAAACAATACAAACTTGTATTAACTGATATTAGGTAGTGCTCACAGAAGAGCAAAAGAGGATAGTGGCAAATTTTCAGCCCTTCGTAGAGGTAGAAAAGCCTAAATTCTCCGCAAATCTTCTGATCTCCAATCTCCCAAAAGTAAGGAAATTGGCGCAGATAAAGCAGCTTGTYGATTTATCGGTGCACCCCTAACTGTAATACATGTTGGTATTAAAGAAAACTGCAGTGAGTGGTTCATGTCTCAAGCACTGGTATAAATGAGATTTTGAACAAGCCACAAGTCAAGCACCAGTATTATGTTTTGACAAGGTGGACAGACAAGACGACCAATACAACTCCTGTTACACGTAAAAGTGCAACAAGTCCGACACAATGCTGTGGAACAGTGCATAGTGAACATACCAACAGAACCACATCATCTGCAAAAAGCAGAACTCAGACCCTGAAGTTCCCAAACTGAAACTACACATTTTCCTTTCCATGACTACATCTTGAGATCCCGTCTACAAACAGGACTGGACAGAAAGGGCAGCCCTGACAGAGTCCAGCCTGCACTCTGGGCCTCAAAATAAGGACCCAGCTCTCACGGTGGTTATACAGGGACTGGGTGGCCCTAAAGTGAACCCAGCACCCCATAATCCTTCAACATCCCCGATAGAATGCCTCAGGGAACATGGTTATAAACCTTTTCCAGACCCAAAAGACATATGTGGACTTGACAGTTAAACTCCCATGACCCCCTTCAGCAACTCTGCATGGGTAAAAATCTGGTCCCCGACCTGGCTGAAAGCCACACTGCTCCTCCTGAATCCAAGCAATCGTTTGGTCCCTGAAGTCAAGATTTAGACCAACATGTAATTTAAACTTCTCAAGAATTAAGTCAAATCTATTAATAAAATAATATCAGGAACTAACTTGTCCCTGGTACTCTTTTAATAATAGATTTGACTTAATTCTTAAATGATACTTTCTATACAGCAGAAACAAGTCTTTTAAGACTGGAACTAAAGGTCAAGTTTACCATTGAAATGTTAACTGAAAGACTAAAAATTTAAATCAAAACTGGGGGGTAAAACCTGGATCTGTCTCACAAATGAACCACAGTTAAAATTTTACGACAGCTCGCTTTACATTTTAGAAATGGTTGTGTTGTGTTGTTTTGTGTTGTGTTTAGGGCTGAAAATTCATTCAAAACATTTGTTTTTAACATCTTTTTGATAAATCCTCAGGTTTTTTGACATCACTCCTTTGGGACAGATCCTTAACAGATTTTCAGCTGATACAAACATCATTGATCAGGTAAAAGGACAAAAACACGCATATTTTAACAGATTTTGTTGCCCAGTCAGTTGTAAAAAAGTGTAATTGTTGTAGGTTTACCAGTTGTTAGTTGTTTTAGTTGTTGTTGTCTTTCTAACTTCATCAACTCTTTCTCTTTTAGCACATCCCTCCAACACTGGAGTCTTTGACCAGATCCACACTTCTGTGTTTGACTGCCATCGGGGTCATAGCTATAATCACACCGGCATTTCTTGTCGCCTTAGTTCCCCTCTCTGTGGCTTTCTACTTCATTCAGAAGTATTTCCGGGTCGCTTCCAAGTGAGTTCACAGCAGGGGTTTTACATTTGTGTTTGCACTGTTTCTTTGCACTGTTTGCACTGTTAATTTGGATACAGAAAGCAGCATATTATTGCAGCAAGATTTGAAAAATCTCATCTTTAAAAGTTATTTTTGATTCTTAGCGAGCTTCTTTAGTGTGCCTCACGGAAATCCCCAGGAGACAGACTATCTTGTGAAYTTTTAAAGTGGTTTTGATCAGTATTTCTCAAGCCATTTTGAAGGTCTTTCAAAGACTTTCTTTGGACATTGGCGACTGTTTTTATCCATTTTCAGTTCAGAACCTGACCAGTTTCAGAGATTTTTGTTTGTTTAATTCCCTCAACCCTGACCTTTATTAAAGTATAAAAGGTTTCTAAACACAATTTGTTCCTATTTAGTTTAACAGGCAGGATTTAGGATCTTGGCTCTAATTAGTTGTTTCCCAAAAATCTATTAGCTGAAAATGTTACCACCACCCACCAACCTAGTTTTATTTCTGGGACTACAGATGTAAATTAGCCTTAGGCTAAATCTGGTGCAATGTATCAAATTATGTTTTAATTGCACACTGTCCTGAACAAATAAAATCATTCATTCATTCATTCATTCATTCATTCATTCATTCATTCATTCATTCATTCATTCATTCATTCATTCATTTTCCTCAAAGTCCCCCTTTCTTAWTTCCAAGCTAAATTGAAAAAGAAATTCAAAAAGGTCAAACTTAATTTTCTCACCACAAAAATTGTCCGATCAGTGTGTGAGCTTAGGCTCAGGTTTTAAACAAAATAAAAAATGGAGACCCTACCTCCCACCTGGTTTCAGCAGGTTACCGCAACAAAGGGGTGAGTGTGGCCTTTGTTTACAAGAGTCTGTTTTTTTTAATCTAATATAAACAATGTGTTCCCACCTTGTCCTAGTGCTGGGAGTTAAAGTCAGTTCAAAGATGGTGCCATAGTGCATTTTTGTGATCAAAGACAAATTTACTTACTGTGTTTTCTGGACAATACTTTAGCCGTTCTGGAGAATAAATCACATCAGAACAGACATTTAGTCTGGAATAACACAGAACATAGCTCCTGCAATCCCGAATAGCCTTAACACAGATGGATGGCACAGATGAAAGTAACTTTATATGAATCTTTTGCAACGACTGTATTGTTCAGTACTTTTCCTTCAAGTTTGGTGTAGTCTATTGTTGTTATTGTTGCAAATAAACCAAAATAAGATTCACACGTTTTAAATATTTTGATCTCCACCGGTGCWTATAGCGAGGCGGCTCTACGCTCAATACAAATACAACCAGCTGGGTCCAATGCTTTCCAATAAGCAAGTTACCGTTAAGTTCACCAATCTCATTCCACATCACGTGATTACTTTTCTTCATTTCATTCAGTGCAGTAAGAGTAACCTGATTTTTTTCGCCAGTCCCTCACAAGATTCTCACATGACCAGCCAAACTAAGAAAAAAAGTGTGAATTATAGTCAGGAAAATACAGTAATTTTTTTTGTGAATRTGTGTAAATTGGCTGCAAGGAAAATGGGGGGTYGGGGGTGGGGCACCACCTAAAATYTTGCCTAGGATGCCAAATTCTCTGTGTCCCCGCTTSGCCACCCCTGGCATAAAAAAGTCTGGCTCCACCCCTGGTTCGAAGGGAAAATCTGTGAAMTCTGAACTGTGACTTCTCGGGGGTCTATTGTATTTTTAAAGGATTACAAGAAAGTCGTGCTGCGTGGAAGCAAAAATAGGAAATGAAAGGGTGGCCTACAAATCAATGTGCATCTAATTGTTTACAAAAATGCCTTTCTTCCCTTCTCAGGGACCTCCAAGACCTTGACGACTCAACACAGCTGCCTTTGCTCTGCCACTTCTCTGAGACTGCAGAAGGTYTGACCACCATCAGAGCATTCAGGTACATCAAGCATCTCCACAATCATCTAAACATGTATTCAAACRATGTTTTTTAAAACTGTCTTTATTGTGATGTCTTCATAATTTGAGTTATGGAGTTGTTAATATTAACAACAATGCCTGTGTTGTGATTGAGGCGTCTCTTCCWGCTCTTGTTGTAGTCGTTGTTAATTACGGGTCAAATCAGCAGAAGTCATGTCTAATATTTCTGTCGTCACACTCTTTCCCATCGTTGCTGTTATCCAACTTTAAACAGCTCTCACGCTTTGAGTCGGGGAGAGGAGGGGGGTCCTCGGGGAAGAGAGGAAGAAAAACACATACACACAAGTTAATAACAGGAACACACACAGGCAGTAAATCAGGGGATTGTTCACAGTATCATTACCCTGTGGTCCCCCTCGAAACCCYGTCTGGTTTCTGAGGCAGAAAACTTCAGATAAAACTAAAACGCATCAAAACGTTTTTTTTTAAATATGCTTGTRTTTGTGTTTCTGCTTCCTGTTTGCATCACGTCCAGTTTTTGGTCCCTAATGATTGATAAAACATGTGTTTCAGACACGAGGCGCGATTTAAACAGCGGATGTTGGAGCTGACTGACACCAACAACACAGCCTACCTGTTTCTGTCTGCCGCTAACCGCTGGCTGGAGGTCCGAACGGTGAGGAACGTCTCCAAGCARCTTGGCATAAAAACATAAACTGTCTTTCCCTTTTAAAAGCTAAAGTTGTAAACTTCTTCTTTGTCCTGTTGGTCTACAGGACTATCTGGGAGCGGTGATTGTGCTGACAGCAGCTGTAGCATCAATATGGATTTTACCAAATAGTAATAGTGGCCTGGTGGGCCTTGGCCTCACATACGCTCTCACTGTGAGTCTTTTGGGCTGTTTATTATTTTAGTACATCATCATACGAACGTTTCAGTCTGTGCTGAGTCCTTCCTAAACTCTGTGTGAACCAGCTGTCTTGGAAAAAAKACTTTTAGGGTAGGTTCTGGGGTGTTTGCCAGAATTCGATACTTAACCTAACTACACTACAACAAATATTTTTTTGAGCTGATATAATTCATTTAAAAAGAAATTTACTTTCCCAAAGCCAAAGTAAAAAAAAAAAAATGCTGAAATTCCCATACTGCACCAGTAGGTGGCAGTGATGTCAACATTAACGACACATTAAAGCACAAAAGAAGAATTAAAAGTCTGTTGATAAGGTACTTTCTGAGCTATAAATGTACTTCGTTACTACACACCTCTGGTTTTTACCCACTATCTTTTTCTATAACATCTCTACTACAGCTTTAATCACAATTATTGGGAATATTTCCTAATATGCAAATTAGGTGATGATGGTAATTAGTGAATTTAGCAGCTTTTASGACAGCTAATAGTGACTTTTCTTATTGAGTTGTCAAAAAGGCGTAGTTTAAAGCACAGGACAGAAGTCTTCCCCCAGGCTAAGCTAAAAACTAGCCTAACTTGGACTGCTTTTATATTATTTTGTATTTTTATTTCAGTCTTTTAAAATAGCTTTTTCTCAAAAATGTCAAATTGGTGTGAAAAAATGCATTAGCTAATATTAATCCTCTAAACTTTTTTTGACACCAAGCAACACAGATTCATTCCCATTGAGAATATTTTAAATGTGATGAAGCAGCTCAAGGCTCATTCTGTCCAAAGATGGCCCAACAAAATATCAGTGAGTGTCTTTTTGTTCCCAGTAGGAAGTGTTTAGTTTAGAAGTTCTAAAGACAGACTGTTAGCATATATTWTCTTAGTTTATTAAAAATGAGCCAGACATTTTGTTTGTCCCTTTGCAGGTCACTAACTACTTAAACTGGGTTGTGAGGAACATGGCCGACCTGGAGGTCCAGATGGCAGCTGTGGAGAAGGTCAACAGCTTCCTCAGCACAGGGTCTGAGAACTACGAGGGGTCTATGGGTAAACTCTGCTGCTTCTCATTGGCTGCATTCCATTTACTCTGGAAATCAGAGCTCAGATCTGGGAATAATGTCACATTCAACTTCACTATGTTCTAGTTGGAAACATCAGTAAGATTAGCTTATTATGCTTAGYGATCATGCTAATGTTTGCATCCAAACAATTAGGAATGTCCCTATCAAGACTTTTTAATTGATTTATTTAACCCCAAATACAGATTCCACTCATAAAAATGCACCGGRCACTGTTTACTGTCTCACAAGTAAAAGTTGCTAATTCTTATGTCAGATATTACATCTTAGCTGGAAAATACCTGATCTGAAGTTATGAAAACACGCTTTGAATTTATCCCAACATGACCAGTTAAAGCTGTTCCCATTTTCCCATTTTTCTGTTTTTGCACCTTCTGAAAAAATAACGTCCCAGTGATCGCTACAAATAAAGTTTTAGATACATCAAAATCTAAAATGCTTTGCACAGTGTGTTCAAATAACTTGTATTAAGTGAAATAATCAGATTTTTATTTTAGCTTTGGATGTAATCTTACTGTAAAYGCTGAAACAGAAATCCCCGATTTAACATAGTTCTGTTAAACTAAACTTCAAAATCATATAAACCCAAACACAAAGTTTAAATTGATTTCAACAGGGTGTTTTATTGTTGCAGCAAATCCTAATTTCTTTACAAATAAACTAGTTTATTGTGCTGAATTTGATGTTCTAGATCAGTTTTTGGAGGTGTGTGTAAAAACTAGGACTGCACAGTGTTACAAAAACATGCAAGGGTGATATTAAATATTGCAGTAACTAGTGATAAACCCACATTTTGACGTTGMTGTTTCTCATAATTCAGAAATATTTTTAACATGACTTGTAGCTCTTTGTCTTTAGGCCTAACGTTTCTGTCTAYGTGTTTTCTTAAATGTGCACTCAGGGGTGAGGCACAGGTGTGGTTATTATGGTGACCCTAATGAGCCACCTGCAGTAGCATTAATGGTTTTAATCTTGTTCTGTTTGCACTTCTTACACAATTTCTAAATCAATAGTCGACATTTTGCCAGTTTCGTTTATTAAAAAAAGATCCAAATTATTATTAGGTTTTATAGAAATGTTGGTTTTTGCTGGAGTTTTACACTCATTTTTGGTCTAACTTTAGTAAAAGCTAATCTGTCATAAAAGACACATTTAGCAGCCATTTGTGACGTACTTTTCACACTTACAGAAAATGTTCGGTTGAATTGGAATCAGAGTGAAACCCACCCCCTTTGCTGCATTTTTCTCTCCTTCCAGACACGTCTCAGGTCCTTGAGAACTGGCCTCAGGATGGTGAGATAAAGATCCAGGACCTGTGCGTGCGCTATGATCCCTTTCTCAAACCGGCGCTGAAACACGTCAACGCCTACATCAAACCAGGCCAGAAGGTAATTAACACGATGCRGTGAGGAGAGTGGAAAGGAGCATGAACCACCATCACAACCTGAGTAAATTATATAATTTTGTTACTAAAAATCAAAAAAAAGCCTAAAAGCATTATGTCTATTAGAAAATGTGACATCTAAACCCGATTGATTATGTATCATTTATGCATTAAGTTTCAGTTTTTGTTCATATAGCAGACAACAGCTACATTGGGCAGTAAATGGTAAATCACACACTGTTGAAATGAAWGTCGGACCTCAGTGTATTGCAGCTATAACTAGTGAGATATAACTTTAGTCAGAATACAAATTACATTCTGGTGAAACAGACAAATCGTAGGTACAGTGATAATAACATGTTTTTAAAACTAATAATCATTGAAAATTTGCCAAAAGGCTTATAAGAGATTCTGTAAATATGTAGAAGAAGGTTCAGAAATCAGATGAGGCTACAACAGAAGGTTTTGTCTATCAGGGGCAACAGGTTCAAACCCAGCACATTTTGATGCTGCAMTCACTAYCCCCACAGTGAAGCACGGTGGTGGCAGCATCATGCTGTGTGGAGGTTTTCATCAGCAGGGACTGAGAAACMGGTCAGAGTTACAGGTTCACCTTGTARAGGGATGAAAACCTTAAACACACTCTTGAAGCAACACTCCAGGGGTTTAAGGAGAAACGGTTAAATGCCCTGGAAAGGGCTGGGTTAAAATAATGAAGTCAATATTTGATCAATTTAGATTTATAGGGCATGACATCAGTTTTTTTTCTCCCACGACGTTACCCTCATTAGTCTTGTACATGATCAAGCAGAGGTGTGTTTATATGTTTTGTGTCACTCCTGGCTTGCCATACATTTACACACAGTTGCTGTTCAGCCAAGTACACAAGTGATAATGAAATAAAAGAAACTGAAGAATCACTAACATTACCAGCCGATTCTCTGCAGGACATGAAGATAACAGAGACCATGGTAACTTTTTTTTACACAGATTTACAGTATGCCTGTACTCTGTTGTGAAAAACAAAGCCTTCAAGCCTAGTCCTGGGATGGTCCAACTGAGAATCTTTGTTTTGATATACAGATTTTTAGACACAAGGGGTGCCARTCCAACTTAAAGGAGCTAGAGCTGTTTGTWTGAAGAATGGATAAAATGTCCAGTGAAAAGGTGGACTAAGATCATGGAGACGTGACTGAAGTATTGTCATGAGGGTGTGAATACAAATGATTTTATGAATATGATTAAGGCATTATGGGTGAATATCTTATCTATTGTAAAACTAACCAATAGTTTGAAATAAGATCTTACAGGATGCCTGAGGATTAGGTCTAAATGTAGATTTTTTAATTTATTAATTTTTTTATTAATGCTTCTGTTTTTCTAAAACTTGTAAACTGGAGTTTTCCACATGTACCTGCCACCCTGTTATCACCCAGGTGTGTTTTATCTCACAGCCATGCAAGGTGACCTGAAGTTTATTGATTATAACTTCTTCTGCTGCTTCGTCAGGTGGGGATCTGTGGCCGTACGGGCAGTGGGAAGTCGTCTCTGTCGTTGGCCTTTTTCAAYATGGTGGATATTTTTGAAGGTGGGTCTGCCACTTTGTCAAGAAGGAGCCACTTTTCTGCCTTCCTTTAAGTCTACTCTTCTCATTTTGATTTATCTTGCTGTCTTTTCAATGATGCAAGACATTTTTAGGTCATACTCCAAATTCTTGGAAAATTTACTGAATATCTGTTGTTGCATGACCTAGTGATGAAGACAACCCTATCAAATTTCATTTTTTAAGTTGCTACAATGCAACATGTAATGTTTTCAATGACACTATTCAAACAAAGGACTTAAACATTACCAGCTGTGAAACCAAGTTATAGCCATTTTTGTGTTCTCTAAGGTGAGTTGGAAGTGGTGGCCATATTGAAAAGTTAATCAGACATCAATGTGCATACAATGTTTTATTTTTTCTTTTTCTTTTCTTGAAACTTTGTTTACACTCGGTCCAGTGGTTCATGAGGTAACTGACAGAATCCAAATGATTAACATTTTAAACAGTAACCTTGTCCAACCTGCTAAAGCTTAGGATATGTGATGCAAATGGGTCCCAGCTGCTACCACACTCAATTTTACTATGTTTCAACTGTTCTTGTGTTTTACTTAGGTTCTGGAATTTGGTTAAAGACCAAAATATTTTGGCATAGTTTGACTTTAGTATGTAAATATTTTAAGAATGCCCTGACACCAGCAGTTTTTTTAGTAGAGCACGTAGAAGATGTTGGTACCAAACTGTATTGTACTGTATGTGTACCTTTCAGTGGTGGGCACAGCTAACCAAAAGGCTAGGTTCACTAAACACTAATCTGCTAAACAAGAATCTTAGCTCTGCTAACGCTAAACAGATACAAACTAAGGGTGAAGCTAATGCTAACTGCTAAAWTGGCTGTCACTCACCYTGTGTCACACATCTTCATCTCCTTCCAGTTGAAGACTGGTGGGACTAACGCAAACCCGCTGTTTGTCTTCCATTGGTTTAATTTGAAAGTGGGTGAGATCCTCTGTGGGAAATCAGCCAATCCAAACCACTGAGAAGAAGTATTAGGAGCTCAGCAGACAYGGTTTCACYGGGTGTTGGCTAGTTGTTGCTGCTGATAGCCTGCAGGAGTCAYRGGGTGGGCTGGAGGGGGTGGGGGAGGTGTGCTCTGTGATGAGGAAGCTCGGTTCGGAGACACAGCCCAGAGGAGGAGCTGATCCCAAAAGGTGGTTCTAGTCCCAACCAGTTGTATTTGCTCCCCTGCCTGGCTGCCTCAGGACAGCACAGGATTTCTCAAACATACATGAATGAGTCAAAGTAAGGCTCTGGGCATGTTTTTGATGAGAGGATAACATTAWAACATGATATAAAGCTCAAAAAAKTTGAKTTTACATGATATTCCCCCTTTAAGAAAAGTTGATTGACAAACACTGTCAAACTGTAGGTGATAAACTCTTTTTCTAAAATATTTTTCTAAAGGCTTTGGTGAGGAAGATTTTTTAAATGATTCACACTGATGTGGCAGATCCAAAAGCTATAAAYGCAGTCATTTTTATTGTCTTGTCCCAAACAGTCAATTACAGTAACAGGAAATTATCTAAAGCAGAACCATAAYAGCCTCTTAAACAGTTTTCAGCGTCAAATATAGACATCTCCAGTAAACGTGTAATAAACACTCTGCTCTAATGTTCCTGATTTATTGAAGTGACTTTTGTTCAAACTAAAGTTCAACTTGCAGGTAAGAAATCACGTATGTTCCTTTAAAAGGTGTTCTGTGTCACCTTTAAATATCTGTTCTATTTGTCTGATAGTGACGYATGTTTATGCTGGAGAAACTATCCCACTTTACTGTTCAGCTTTGTGTAAACACTTGTGCAGGTCCCTCTTTTTGTTCTTTGTGTGTGTCGCTTCACTCCCTAAAGGACCTGAAGTAGACCCTTACACCACAGGATAAAAAAAATAGTTGAAAAAACTAAGCTCGTATTTCTTCATGACAGTAGTGATAAAGCTGCTTTATTTGCTGTGCTTTAAAACCAAGTTGTCGTCATTTTCTGTTTTTACTCTTAAAGGATGATGAAAGCGTTCGGACAGATTCTTCAAAGATGTGATTACAGCAACACTTTTTCCATATGCTCACACGCACAGACTGGAGGTTATGTAATTCAAGTATAAGTTAAGAGCTTTGTGTCAGCAGTGTTTCCTTTTAAAGAAGTGAAATAAAAACCAGAGAATCAGCTCCTCTGACTCAGCTGTGCTGCGCACCCTCTCTGTTCCATTACACCGAGGTTAGACTTTAAACATGAATTCAACAGGAAAACAGGACTGATGAGTTTAAGTAAAACGTGTTTAAAAGTTATGTTGATGACTTGGTCTAAAACCCACACCAACAAGGATTTGAGAAACTGTTTCAAATCCACCTGTTGTCGTTTAAAATTGTACCCGTACCGCAGTCACAGTCAGTGAAACTGCAATGGAAAATTACATTTTCTCACAATCAAGTTCTCAGCTAAACTCCAACAATCACATCCCAGTGAGATATTACCTTGACTTTTTAATTCACTTCTATGCTGACGATACTGTGATTTACTCTACTGTTTCCACTGACTCCAGCAGCRTTTTGATACTGTTTAGGCGAATTTGTGCAATTCCAAACAATTTTTTATTCATTATAAAAAGCATAACTTTTGACATTCTCCAATTCAAAAGTCCCTGACTCTGTCAGCACTAGTTGAAGAGTCTAAGTCAGTATGGTTGATAGACAGCCAACAACAATGCCATCATGTTGTTGTTCGAAATTCGTTTTTCTCTCCCAYGAATTTCTGACCCAAAGAGTGGGGTCGAAAAGTTTGTGACAAGAAGGGGCAGAAGAGTCTACGCTGCAGACAGAATCACACAATTTTCATCATKAAACTTCAACAATCTCATCCAATTTTGGCAGTTTAGATGGAGCATACTGGGTGCTTAATCTTGAGTTTGTCTGAATGCCACCGTTACACTTTTGGGTTTCTGCTTTGGTTTCTTTTGATTATTGATGAATATGAGGTTAAGAAAATACCTGCACAACATCACCTTTTTATTAGCACACACTGCAGGATCTCCARCACTGGGTTGTCATAGATTCACCAGTTCTCAAATATGACTTAAATGTAGAAACATTGCTGTTCCAGGTAAACCTCACACACCTATCTTAATGCAATTATATTTGTGACCCAGTAGTAACATTGTACAATCTCATGTTAGAATATACAAATGGTGCAGGTGTTGAGTCCAATAGGACAGAATCACCTTGGTTTGTTATTTGCAGGCATGTAWGTGCAGTGTGTACTGGTACTGCTTGTGGTGATGTTTCATATGAAACTGCTATGGCTGAGGCTTAAAGAGTAACTTACCCCAAAATTAACTTTTTTTAGCTGATAAACTGCCTAGAATGTGTCTAAAATGTTATATAG